GTTTACATATGTGTTTTTAAAGAATTTAAATGCTCAACTCGTTTTCAGCTATTGTAGCAACATCTCAAATTGATTACTGATATAAAAATAATGTGAGCACGCAGAACATATGTTTTTATCTGTCTGTTCGCAGACAGAACCGAAACCGAAATTTATTTCAACTGTTGTTACAGCTGCTTCTTGATAGATGTTAAATGGATTTTCGCACGTCAGCATGGAGATCTTTTAAGACTGCAGTTTGGCAAATATCTTGGCTAATTTAATTAAAGCGTACAATTAAAGGCTTTTAATTCCTTTTACTTAAATGCATTAGACGATGACGTCAATTAAATTAGATTCTGCAATAAATACACTAATGGAAAATTGAGGCCCACACCGAGTAGCAGAGCTGTGGCCGTGGCTGTGGGTGGGCATCACGGAACGGAAGCACTGCCTGGCGGCTTATTTGGTGGCAACACCTGAAACCAGTGAACCACACCCAAGAGCCTGCCCCCTCCCTTGCCCAATGTTTAGCACCCTGCGGCGCCTACTTACATGCTGTTAATTTATGCTAAACGCATCGCGTCTTTGCATTTAATTGTGAAATTAAATTGGTTGCGATTGATGTGGAAACGATTCGAGACGATGCAAGGGCAGGGGCGGAGGCAGAGGCATTATGGTAAAATCCTTAAATAACCCTTTTTGGATATAACTTAAGAGATTTGGACCAGGATTAGCATTAGAAATGGAATCAATTGATGTCAATTTGATTTTGAGAAACTTGGCTACATCCAGAAAAAATAAAAATAAAGTTCAAATTTTAGAAAAATATCTTTAAGTCACCTAGGAATCAATTGTTATAAATCTAATTGTGATAATGTCTTTCATATTATCTGACAACCTTAGACAAGTAATACCCATCCATCAATCTCAACTCTCGCATCCATCTCTATCTCTTATCGCCTATCAGATTTCGTCTGGGCCGTTTATTAGGCAGCCCATTTCTATGGCAATATGGCAATTTTCAAGATGCCTTTGCATAAACAATAATTAAATGTGACCAAATTTAATTTCAGCCACATGGCCGAAATGCAATGTGACAGTTTGGGCGGGGCTACAAATACAACAACATATACACATGCAAATGCCTGCATAATTATGCGGTCCCTCTGCCTGTGTAAGTGCTTGTTATACATATCTATATCCAAGTGTGTGTGTGCGTGTATCTGTGTGTGTGTGTGTGGCGTTCCTGATAATGTGCAGTTTAATTACAGAGCTCTACATGCACACAGACAACAATAATAACAAGCTGGGAAGGCCAATTGCTAAATGACGAACTGGAAATGCCCTAGTGAAATAATATTAATAATAAAAATAATAATATTAAAAATAATAATAATCAAAATAATAATAATAAATATAAAAATAATAAAAATACTAATAACAATAATAATATTAGTATTTCAAATTAAGTCTAAATTACAAATTTTTATTTAATATAAAAATTTAAAATATAGATTATAAATAATAAAGTATAGTATATATAAAACTAAAATTTAAAGATTTATATTGAATATTTTGTTTTAAATATTCTGATTTACATGTAATTTTTACCTACATTGATTTATTATGTTATATTATATTTTATATTATTTATATTTATATATTATATTTATATATTATGAATTATATATTTTATTTATTTTTATATTTTATATTATATTGTACTAATTATTTATTATTTAATTATTGATTTAATTTATTTTAATATATCTATTATATCTATTAATAAAAAAAAAGTTAAATTTTTTATATGTATTAGTTAATTAAAGTTTATTTATTAAACTACATTTTTATAATTTTAATGCATATTGTAAATTTATTTATCTTATCTTAAGTCTAGCAGCGCAAAGGTTTTTTTTTTTTTTTAATTAATATATAATATAAGCAAAAAATACTATATACATATATTAAAAATAAGTAAAATATTATTAAATATAATATATATATATAATATAATATATATATAATATAATGTATATATAATATAGTGTATATATAATATAATATATAATTTAATATATAATAAATATATCAGTCTTTCTCTGGCTTTCTTTCCTATATTAACTAAATTTTGCTCATGACAAACCCTATCTCATAGCCAATTGACTACTTCGATCAAGCCTATTAGGCCTTATAATAGGCAGCTCGACATCTTTGCATAAATTCAAATTAGTTTGCGACATCGCTTCGCCCTTCTCAGGGTCCGTCCCTGAGTATTTCCCCTGCCAGTGTCGCATCACTTTTAATTTTAAATGTGAGACAATGTGCCTTTTGGTCCTGTCAGGTGCACAACTGTATCTACATCTGATTTTCCCTGATTGTGCATGTGTGTGTGTGTGTGCTTGTATGTGTCTGTGTTTGGGTGTTTATTTGTCTGCGCTGTTTATTGGCATCCATTAGATAATGGAATTTATGTCAAACATTTGCTGGACTTCCCACTCGCTGACAAAGTCATCCTGTCTCCGTCACGAACGCAAGCAAATTATCTGGTTTATGCCTAAGACTAACCATATTTAATATTTTATATATACATACATTTAATAGCGAGTCCGATATGGCTGTGCAACTGTCATTCAATTCATTTTGCATATCAATGCAGTCTAAGAGCTGGGAGCAACAAAAAAATAAATAAAAGGTGAACAGGACTGTGTATTTACACTAATTAACACAGAAAAGTTGCTGCGCACAAAAAAACATGAATAATTGTAATTAATGTGCTTTTGTGTGCACTGCACGATATCATATCATAGATACCAGAGTGTGTGTGTGTGTGTATTCATAAATTCGTATTACTATATATATATATGTATATAAATATTTTCATATTTCCTCTCAGTCAACATTCAACGTCCACTTGTTTCAATTCAATATCAAATAAAAAGGCAAGCCGTCTGCTACGTTTTCCATTGTAAATCAAGAGCATTTCCATTTTTTTCGCATGTTTATTAAAAAAATGTGCAAATATAAATGGCATATACTTCATTTATTAATTAATTTGACAGATATAAAAAAAGATGCATTGAAAATGTGAAAAGGTGCAAATCCTTTAATGAGACACAACTATTTCGTGATACAACTTTATTTATAAAAATAAAATAAACTCGCATATTATATTTCACTAATTTTTTCAGCCTGAACTTTGGCTTAAATATGCATATTAATTAATATAATTACGAATTCAAGTGTCAAAGTTTACAAAGTGTAACCATCTTATTAGCAACAGTTAGCAACTTTTACAGTTGGCTATAACTGACTAAGCAACTAACTTTGTTTAAACTCCAATTATTTATAATAATTACAATACCAAACAATAAACAAAACAAATATTTAATTAAGTTTAGTCTGGTGATTGTGTGAGCCGAATGTTAAAATAAAAAAATAAAAAATTGTTAAAAGTAAAATTTTAATATCAGACTGTTGCAGTCGGGCGCCATCGACCGCTTAATACTCGTTCACGGTATAAAAAATAAATGAATCCTTGTGTTCTGTAATATTTTTACTGCCAAGTTCCCTTATTTGAGCTCTAGAAATAATAGACAATTCTGCATAAGTGATTTATATTTATATAAATTTATTTAATTTCTATATTTTTATTTGATGTATCTATCCTATCTTAACTTATCCTACTAAGCCTTAAAGAATAGAATATTTGCTATAACTGACCTAGTATGTATGTAAATCGACAAAGCCTGAATGTTTTATAAGACGAGGCTAACAAGCATATGATCTGCCAGATAAAACCTATATACTCTTTTCTTTTCATGATGTGAGCAAGCAAACTTGGCAAGCCACCCATGAGCTCCATTATTATTGTTTATATTTATTAGAGTTCTGCCGAAAATACATCAAATATATATCTCCAGATTCCAGTTTCTAGCAGATTGACAATTAAGAGCCTGATATAAAAAGACGATTGACCTGAGCAAATACCTGAGAGAAAGGAATGCGCAAAAACAAAACTTGTCTGTCAAATTTGTTGATAAAAATGAGATAAAGCTTTGCAATGCGACTAGAAATTACCCTTACTCGGATATTGGAATATATTAATTAATATGTATGTATGTATGATTATCATTAATGATATACTTCATAATTATAAGCTCATCATATTGTCATTTGCTTATACAGATTATCACATTCCAAAAATAACAATTTTAGACACATTCGCAAAGTATAGAACTGCATATTAAATTCAATATTTGAAAATAATTAGCAAACTTATTGAGTGCTGTAAATCACCCAACTGGTGTGCTCCATAGCTCTCTGGGTGTTTCCGATCAGCGATCGATGTTTGCGCATCTAGTGGACCGTTTGTCAATTTTGCTCGCATGGGCTAGAATTTGTATGCGTGGGACGTGTTCGCTCATCAAATTTATAATTTCGCAATAACAATATTGAACTTATTTATTTGCCAAGTGAGTGGAGCTCAATCTAAGTACTTTGTTGTCTATCCTCAATGCAAATTTATGGAAATATACCCTGTATAATCGAGATAATAAGAGATGTATATTAAATGAAGCAGAAGTACATGAAGTTCTTCAGCTGATTTTGAGAAGCAAACTGATTTCAGCTCACTAATCATTTGCAGCTGGCAACTCTTGTCTTTTTCAGTTTATTTATATTCTAGGGTATCGCCACAGCCAATACCTCCCTTCGGAATGCGCTTTAAGCATTTGTTTACATTTGTCAGAATACCAAACAAATGATCAGCGAGCAATCAAGACGGGGTACTTAAGCACTGACAACCGAGTAAAAAGAGTCACTTCTGCTGCGGATCCAGACGTTGACTAATCGATCGATTCGTAGATATATGTACACCTGAGACCTTGCTCGCAACTCTATGATCTGTGATCTGTGATCTGTTCATTAGTGCATTTTTTTTGTGGCCAACAAATTTACAACTATATTTACGATATATACTATATATGGTTTTTGTCAAGAAGCTGTGACTGTGACTTATTTAAAATCCGAAATGCAAAGCTAATTTTGAACAGTTACATCTGAGAGCTCGGAGCGTTATGTTGGTCCCGGTTTCGATGTGGCTGCTACTCTTGGGCGTAGTGCTGGCCTATCTCATACACTCGATTCGCTACCAGGCGCGCATCAATCGACTGACCAGCAACTGGCCGGGCCCGCCCTCACTGCCCATCCTCGGGCACTTGCACATCTTTGCGAAAATCATTGGGCCGCGTCCCTTTAAGCGCGCCGCGGAGCTGATCAACTGCCATCTGCAGGATCACCGGGGCAAGCTCTGGCTGGGCACCAAGCTTTACATACTCGACTGCAATCCCAAGGATATCCAGGCACTCTGCAGCGCCAAGCAGCTGCTGCAGAAGACCTCGGACTATCGCGTATTCGAGAACTGGCTGGGCGCGGGCGTGTTCACCAGCCGTGTGGATAAATGGATGCATAGCCGGAAGATGATTGCGCCGACCTTTAACTACAGCATGGTTAAGCAGTTTGTGCATATATTCGAGCGGCAGGCGCGCATCCTCCTAGACAGGCTGGCCACACTGGCCGACACGGATCAGCCCGTGGATTTCTTTCAGTTCATCAGCTGCTGCACGCTAGACACCATCTGCGAAACGGCGCTGGGCACCACAGTCAACTCGCAGTCGGGTGAGAAGTCGGAGTACCTGGATGCAGTCAGAGAGTGAGTAGGCCATATGGAAGAACTCATATAGACACTTCAGGTCACTTTAGCCGCACTGCTTTTCAGAATTTTTCACGTATTTGACACCAGGCTGAAGAATCTACTCTATCGCTATCCACTCATCTATTACTTCACGCCGCTCGCAGCACGCGAAAGGCAGCTCCTGAAGATCCTTCACGGCTTTACCAAGGGCATTGTCACCAAGCGTTTGGCTCAGCTCGCCTCGGATCTGGCCAATGGCAATAACGAGGCCACGTCTGACGCCGAGTCCCGTCAGCAGCAAACCCGCAGCCTACTGGATAACTTGCTGCTGGCCAGGGGCGCCGACGGCCAGCCGCTAAAGGAGAGGGAAATACGCGAGGAGGTGGACACAATTATCTTTGGCGGCTTCGACTTGACCGCGGCCATGCTCAAGTTCTTCATGTACAACATGACGCTGCATGTGGAGTATCAGCAGCAGTGCCGCGAGGAGATCTGGCGGGTTTGCGGGCGAGATGCAGCCACAGCCATAACGATTGAGCAAATGCGAGAGCTGGTCTACCTGGAAATGTGCATCAAGGAGACGCTGCGCATGTATCCCTCGGCGCCCATCACAGCGCGCCGTGCCACAGCCAATTGCACAATCAGTGAGCGAAATCCACTGCAATATCCAGATCAGCTGGGCTATATCTCGACTCCTTTCAGATAACTTCTTCATACCCAAGGGCAGCGACGTAATCATCTCGCCCATGTATATGGGCCGCTGCAAGGAATTCTTTCCCGAGCCGCTGGTCTTCAGGCCGCAGCGCTGGGCCCGCGATGCCCAGCCCAAGATCGAACCCTCCACCTACATACCCTTCATGACGGGTCCGCGCAGCTGCCTGGGCCAGCGCTATGCCATGGTCATGCTGAAGCTGGTGCTGGCTCACCTCCTGAGGAGCTTCTACTTCGAGCCCCTGGGCGAGCGGCAGGAGAAGGCGCGCCTCATCTTCGTCATGACGCTGCATACCAAAGATCCCTACTATTGCAAGATACGAGCTGTTAAGTGAAACGTGAAAGCATTCTTTATGCTACATTTTCAAGAGATTGCAATTGCAATTGCCATTGAGATTGCGATTGCCCAGCTACCAGGGCTGGTATGCTCAACAGCTCTTGAGGCTCAGACCGGAATACATCTGCGTTAGCCATTGAACCTTTTGTTAAGCCCTTATCAATTCGTTTCGCCTGGCTCCATTCAAAATTTCTGTATTGCATACTTCGCGGCGCACAAATTACGCATCACATTTCCGTTTTTAATGACGGCGGCGACGAGGTCGTATAAAAAAAATAAAAATAAATAAAAGAAACAGGCAATAATTGTAAGAATGGTGAATTGCAGAACGAAAATTGTATGCTCTTGCTGAGAATAATTATCTTGTATATGTTTAATATTTAGAGGTAGTTTTAGATAACAAAAAACTCTCTTAGATCATTTGTGTGTATTAGGTTTCTCGTACATACTGACTCATTTTATTTATATTATGAAATCAAAGGGGACAGGCTTTTACTCGTAAGTTTTCATGTAATTCATTCACGTTTATGAAACATCTAAATTGTACGAAATTAACAGTTACTTAAAAGAAATAAATATAAATAAATAATAATAAAATAAATAAAATAAAATAAATACTAATAAATGAATAACATTAAAAGTATAAAATGTAAAATATAAAGTATTCTATAAAAAATATAATAAGTAAAATAAAATATATAATACCAAATAATTAAATAAAATAAGGTGGGCGAAGAAGTATTTTCTATTTTTTAAGTTTATAAAACCCAATATTATATAAATAATATTACACTTTATATAATACATAATAATATAAATTAAAAAAATTATATTTTTATATACTACATAACATTTTACATTAATATTGCACTTTAAAATAATCATCAATCAATAATCATTGAAAAAATAGTATTTTTCTTGTTTAGCTTCCCTATTTCATTTGCCATTGCCAACTATATAAACCATATGAAACAGATATATTACAAATTTTCAAATATATGTATATATTATATCCCATGTATAAATACCTTGCAAATTCCATCACACACTCACAATACCCACAATGCACTCTATAATAAAACTCTGTACAATTTGTAGAATTTCTGGGTATTTTTTTTATATTCGAGCGACGCGCGTTCGTCTAGAAAATAATTCGTTTTTTTTTTCTGTGCCCCGATTTTTATTGTGCGCGCACTGCGGAAAATCAACAAACATTTCCTGGCAATGCTGCGTGTAATAAATAAAAATACATAAAGCAGCCAGCCCGTCGCCCAAACACGAGCCAACAAAACCCACTGCCACATATCCTGCCGTCATATTCCGGTGCAAATTATGGCCGTTGCCTGCTTATTATTACGACTCGACGACTCGACGACGACGACGAGGACGAGGACGAGGCGACGGCATCGCATATCCTAGCCGAGCGCATAAAATGCAATTTATTTAAATAAAAATCAAGTTTAATTTGCAGTGTCGTAAATTTGCGTTCGTCCGCATTGAATTTCACGCTTTTGTTAACAAGCGCATAAAAGTTTTCGCTTCTGCCAACTGATAGTCCGGTATGTCAAGGGGTAAGCGTGTAACTGACGGCGGCGGGGGGGCGAGTGTGTCCTGCGTATTAACAGAGGGGGTTAACAGAGAGCACTGAACTTGCCAGCAAGACGTGCGACAATTGATGCGTTGCCGAAAGAGTTCAAAACTCTAAACGAAATATGAATTCGCTTGCATAAAAATTGATTAAGAGTCGATGCATAGTAAAAATTGATAAGGCAAGTTAGGGCAAGGCAATCGAGTGTGTTCTCTAAATGCATAAACTTAATGTTATCTCTAAACAACAAAAGAATAACACTAATACACAAAAATTGAGCAGACTAACATGCTCTGGCTGAGCAAAGGTTCCCCAACTACATTGAAGACTACAAATGCATCAAGACATCAATAAAAGTCCCAGAGCTGATCTTTTACCCAAGTCAATAGCCAGTCAGGTGGAAAAAATAACTTTCTCGCTAGGAAGTGTTAATCTATCGCTATAGATTATATTTTTTTGAATTCAATGGATTGCTAACACGTTAAGAACAAGATTGACAGTTACAAAACAAATATACTCATTTCACTTTCGGGAATGAGTATTAAAAAAGTGTTATTCTACTGATTAATCTCCCAGAAAATGCCAGTTAATCATTAACAGATACCACTTCGATTTATTCTTAATACTCTTCCAAGGCTGTTGCCATTTGAAAATATAATTGCATTATAAAACCATTTGATTTGAATTTAGAATAATTTTATTATTATACTATTCATATATAATTTATAATCATTTAAATTAATTTATATTTTAAACTAACTATAGATAGGAAAGTAAATCCTACAGCTGCTTTGAAGGAATTTCAAGTAAATGCCATATTTTATGTGTCTACAATCCTAAGGGGGCTCTAGATGCTCCACAGATTGTAACTGGATGTGAATTGGTTCAAGGAAATTGTAACACGTGATTCAATTTCATTGATCGATTTTAATCGATTGTTTCAATTGGTTTTTCTTCAATTTTACTTTTAGATTTGCCCTTGTTTTCTTTTTTATTTTTTATTGTATTATCTTCAGGGCCACTTTATGTATTGTTGTTTGGCAATTCAATTCTCGATTTTTATGGGTTTTTAATGTGCAAACGCAGCCACTCCTTTTCATGCCACTCGGCAGCAACCCCTTTTCGCTGGGGCACTTGTAATTCGACTCCTAAATGTATGCTATGATTTTTATGTGTTTTTACAGCTAGTTTACGGCCTCGCATTGTTATTGGCAAAAGTTTGCCATATGGGCTTTGTGGCTCGCTATTAAATGCCATCGCATTGCAAGGCCCCGAAGCACTTTAAGTTTAATCGGCAGGCGCTAATTAGCATATGAGCCGAGGTAATCGAACGCTGGCGGCCGGCCGCAACTTACGTAAATCCTTATCGCAAACATTACCCATTGCCCATTAGCCATTACCCATTAGCCATGGCACAATATTGACACAATCGACTTTAGGCTGACGCACAGCACACAATTTGACCACAAATGAGGCTTAGCCTCAAGGCAATATCTCCGCTGCTTACTTCAAAGAGCCGCCGCCCACGCCCCGCCTACGAATGCAACCGCAGCAATGCGTTGCATGTGTGGCAGCCCGCCGAGGCGCCACCACACAACAATGACAATGACGTTTCCGAGCCAAGCAGCAAACCGCAAAGACAAAAGCCTTTTTTGGCTGCATGTACGTCTTAATCAAAAGTGTTTAAAATTTTGTAGAGCCCACGGGCTTGTGAAATTAACGGCCCAAACCATAAATTTATGTTGACGTACAGCTGCTGGACATAAAACTGGGAGAGTGGAAAATGTAGAAAATGTGGAAAATGTTTGAAATGTGGGAAAACGACAGCAACAATAATAAAACATTTGGCAGGCTCGATTTGATGTCACTTTAATGAGCAGGCTCCGTGAAGATTTGCCACTTTAGATAAATAAAAATATGACAGATGCAAAGATAAAGAGAAGGGCAGGGTGAGGGGGAAAGTGAGGGAGGCAGAGTACTCATCATAATTAAAAGGGCTGACCCGCTGCTGGCTAAGGCGCAATAAAACTGAAGGATTCATATGGATAATTAAGTTATGGCGGGTGCCAAAAAACGCCCCGCCCTAAGGGCGAAGGGTTAGGCCTTGGGCATAAAATGTCCAAAGATCGTAAAATATGAAGCAGGCTTTTAGCTGGAGCGACTTAATTTGAAAGCCGGCCATAAAAATGCAGCTGGGCCATAAACATTTATGCATAATTTGTATAAATAAATAAATGTATTTTTTATGATTTTTTAATTGACAAGTGAATTAAGCGAAGCCAAGTTTACCAAATGAATTCAAAACTTAAATTCTTAAATTCTCACTTACCTTTCAGCTGCAGTTCAACAATGAAATCTAAATGCAAAACAGCAGCGGCGGGCGAGCCTTTTGGCGAATGCAATTAAGTCCGCAGTCTGGAGTCTGCAAGTAAAATGTAAGCAAAGAAAAGTAAGGAAAAAATTAGCAAATATCGGGGCAAAAGGGTTACGCGACGACCAAATTACAAACTGTTGCTAAAAATGTCAACTTAAACTCTTTATGCACAGCAATTTTGGCCAACAAACAGGGGCAGGAGACGGCTGACGCAGAGCAGACGCCAGCTGTCTTGTCCATAGACTAGTCTGGGGCGTGGCTAATTACAGTGCACAGCAAATAATAGAAAAGAGAGAAAAGGAAAACCAAGATAGAGAAAAAAACAAAATTAATATAAACAAATGCAAGTAAAGATATTCCCCAAAGCAAACAGAAGCTGTAAATGCCATGGAGAGGGAGAGAAAGAGAGAGAGAGAGAGAGGGCGCAGGACTTGCAGTTAAGACGTTAAACAGACACGAAATGCCAAACACGTTTCTGGCTGAAAATGAAAACACAAACAAAAAAGAATAAATAATACAGAATTAATTAAAACAAACAAAAATTGTATTTTATCTGAATGCATTGCGCATTGCAACTGGGAATCGAAGTTGTCAGCTCAGCAGCTACTCAATGCCAAAACCACAAAATAATAATAACACAACTGAGCAGAAAGCAAACAATTGCAACTGCAACTGCCACGCCCAGTCAGTCAGTTTCCCGTTGCGTTTGTTGTGGCTTTTGGCATAAAGTTTTTGTTTAACATTTCAGTTGTTGTTGCTGCTGCCGCCACTTGAATGAAACAAGCAAAAGTTAAATTCAAAACTTTTGCCTACTCAACAATGTAGCTGGTGCAGATATCCTATCCGGCCACAGCACACATATGTGTGCGTGTGTGTGTGTGTTGCCACAAAAGTTTGCCACACTTGCAACACTGTTGCACGCCATTGAATGACCGAAATGGCCAAAAGTCGAGGCCAAACTTTAGGTTGAATGCGCTTGTTCTAAATTAATGGGGTTTGCAGTTTGGTTTTTGGGAAGCCCTTGCTATTTTGCATTTACGAAATTGTCGAGAATCTAGATCGATAGATCCTAGAGAGGAAGTTGTGTTTTCAGCGAACATTAGAGTAAACTCAGTGCAAAGGTAACAAGTGGATGCAGGTAGATATTAGTTCTAGTTAATGAATACTATAAGCAGAGTAAACTAGAGTCATTTATAACTGAGTTTGCTAGAAATTCTCCTTAAACTTGTATGCTACACAATAGTATCATTTAACAACACTATAATTAAGTATTTTTTTATCTACCTATAGTCTAGCAACACTGCTGTGCAAACTTTCTCTACTCCTTCTGTGCTGCGAGTAAAATAATACAATTAAAATCAAAAATAAATATTATAAAAGCCAATTAAAACAAATTTCAACAGAGTTGCAGACAAGTTATTTAGGCAAATAATTTATATTATTTAATTAATATATTTTCAATCCTCTTTAGAAATGAAATATTTTTTTGGCCTGAAAATGGCCTCTTAAATAATGGGTATTTTTGAGCTTACTAGACTTTTATTATATTTTCGAATCATTTTTAAGCATAATAACAAAAAAACTAAAAATATATAATATATTTTTTATAAAAATATATAATATATATATAATATATTTTTACATTACTTTTAATATTAGTATGATATCTTTAATAAAAATTATTTTACAAAATTAGCTCAAGTCAAAATGTATTTTTATTGTTATTATAAATGTTTATATTTATTCTACATATTTAGTCTAAACCTGTAAATATAAAAACAAATAAATAAAATATAAATATAAAAACAAAACAAAATAATATTAGTATAAATAATAAAAATAAAAATAAAATATATGTATATATTAACTAAATAAAAAAAAGTAGCATAAAAATAATAATTTTATTAATATAAATACTAATAAAAACAAAAATAATAATAACATCATTCTTAACAAAATATTCAAGCTAAATAAAGCTCAATAAAAACACTTAAATAAAATAAATAAATAAATATTTATGCTTCTCCTTTCAGTATGTGTGAGTTAAGGCAAGTAGCTAGATTGCTAGACTTCCTCTTCGAACAGTTTCCCCTTTAATAATTACCCCGATAGTTGCAGCCCTTATCAATTACAAAACTCCCCGCCCGCAAAAGGGTTGCTAAATGCGCTTAAAAGCCACAAATTGGATTACTCTAGCAACAATTAGAGCCAAAGAGTGGCTAAAAGGTTCGACTTGAGTACGCGTCTGATAAATCAGCAGCTGCTTCAACAATCAAATTGCAAATGGGAAATATTTTTTAATGCATTAATGCCAAGTGTTTCAGTTGGTAAGCCTATTAGACGGGACCCAAATGACAAGTCTAGATGAAGAGAAATAGGAAAAGAGTTGCACTTTTAATTACTGGTATACGAAATCCATTAAAAATTGAGAATGCCAAAATGCCTTTATAAGAAGTGTTCTGCCCAGCTGCCCCAACGGACAAGGAAACTCAAGTGGCAAAGCTGTCATGGAGCTGCACAATGGGGAGAGAAAAAAAAATAAAGATACAAATGCACAAATACTGAGACACTGTCTGCCTGTCCGTCCGGCTGTCCGGCCGTCTGCCTGACTGTCTGTCTGTCAGCTCTGAGGCGCAACTAATGAGCGGCAAGCGTGGAAGTGGGCAAATCTGGTAACTTAAGTCCGATGCCATGGCCGAGCACCTTGCTCGGAGCGACTACGTCTCAAGTCAAGTCAACCGGGTCCGGCAGCAGCAACACTTATTTTAATGAGAAATTCTAATTTCACCAATAATACAAAAGACCCTCCACGGCGGCAGCTAGCAGATATTTGTGCAACTGCTCTGTGATTGCTTTTCGCCACTCGGCCGTGACGAAAACAAAGCATCGCCCCAGTTCCAGGCCGACTCGCAGAAAAATGAAAAAGACACAAAAATTCTTAGTATTTGCTGGGCTGCAATTAGATGAGACTGTGCGAAGGTGCTTCTACGGGTTGGCCATAAGCATTACGACTGCAGCTCGATGGCGAGGGTAAGTCTCGTCAGCTAGACGGAAAATATAAACAGACTCGTCCCGCCTCGCCTCGACTCTTGCTCTGATTTTTGAAGCACTTGCAAATTTATGCAAAACTCAATCAAAATTACAGGAAATTAATATGCAAACGTCATGTGTGCAGGACATCAAATGCTCGTATTTACCAAAGTCGGCAGTTTAATTAAACTAAATTCCCTGGAGCGGAGACAGCACGACAACACGTCCACCAAGCATAATAAAACATTTGACAACTTGTCAATTGATCAATGAACAACAATAACAACAACAACAGCTACACGAAACTGTGCGAAAAATCTCAAGAAAATCAACTTGAGACATCCTCAGAACATGCACAACAAATAAATGAATGAATGCAAATGAAGGAACTGAACACATAAAATTACTTAAATTTGTAATAGCCATGAATGTTTTCTTACAATTGGCTGTCAGAAATCAGAGACGTCTTGGGCCGGCTAGCAAAAAACTGGGCGAAGCTCTGGAATAAAGTTGTCATTTAAATGCAATGCTCTATGAATACATCCACACACACAAACACACACATACATATACATATATATACAATATAGTCGATACAATGCATTGCCAAACAATGCTAGGAATTTCTTGTATTAAAATCGAAATAGCCTGAACAACCAACCCCCTAGACGTGCTGAATCTCTCTTGCCCTTCCCCTCCCTCTCTCTCTCTCTCTCTCGCTCTCTGCTGGCTGCTGAATATTTGGCTAGGCTGCTGCCCTTACAGCTGTCAACATGTTTAATTGAAACTGACACTCAGTGTCATTTTATGGCCATTGCCATGCGTTACCTTAACTGTAACTGTAACTCGAGTCTCGAGTCTTGGGCCGAGTCTTGGCTTGATTATTGCACCACATTCCTATCGACTTGGCCAGCAATTGGGTTGGAGTTGGGGTTGTAGTTGGGGCTCGATTGGTGGGGCAGAGTTGTATATTAGTTAAATTTATGGTTGACAATGTTGCACATGTGTGTATGTGTGTATTGTATATGTGTGTGTTTAGGTATGTGTGCTTTGACTCAGGCTTATTTGATTTGCAAGGCACTTGCTAATAGATGGACGTACTCTGTATAGGGGTAATGCATGTAGCGTATTTTGTATAGCTGAACTATAGTCGAAGTAGCCTCGACTTCTTGATAAGTGTTTTATTTATTTATGTTGGTTATATTATAATAATTTGGCATATTTTATATATTCTTAAAATTAAATATATTTATATATTTTCTTACCTTTTCCGACTGCTTTTTGTATATTTTTTAAGCTTATGTTATACTAAAAAAATTTCAAAATATTTCAAATACATATAAATTTTCCATTAATTTATAACTGTTATCTCGCACACATCCTAACTTTTATTTAACTTATTCATTTTTTTTTTTATTTTGGTGCTTTTCAAAGGGAACTGCTTACACTTTATTTGCTTTGCTCGGTCGAATGGGCTCAAGTGCCGAATACTTGGACTCTGGGAAGTATTTTAAAAAAAATTTGGTCTTTTTTGTAATTTCGAGGGTGGTTGTCGCGCACTTGATGTCATTTTAACGCCACTGATTTATATTATTTGCCCAAGATATCAGCGTAATTCCTTTGACAAATCAATTGGCAAATGCCACTCGATGGCATGCCACAGAAGGCTAAGAGCTCTCTCTTCGAACACCCGATTGCCGATGACACCTCGGCTGCAAGTGCTGTTTGCCCAACTCATTGAGTCTCAATAGGATCTGTCGGAGTGTTAAACTTGACACTTGTTGGCGCAATAGATCAAAAGCGGCAAAACTGTGCGTGAGTGCAATTATTTACCCAAAAATATATATTACGTATATATGTGCATGCATATATATTTATAAGAAATGCAATCAGCCTTAAATAAACATATTAAGAATTTCATTCTATGCAAATTAGACATGAGCTGAAGCCCCAAGGGAGTACATATCACAGAGAACTTGCTTATGCTAAGCACACAGAAAAAGGGTAAAATATATAAGAAATTACTTGTAGCTAAAGCAGAATCTTGGCAACATATGGTCTCTGTTGAAAAAGGGAAATTTGATTGCCTAGCAAGCTGGCTCTGACTTCAGATCTGCTATCAATCTAGTAAGCGAAGTTCCCTCAGTCCTATTTGCTTTGTTCACATTTTGATTTAACTTCATTTTGTTTTTCTTTACTTTTCAAATCTCATATAATAGAAATCACAGTTAGCATCTCATCTGCTGCCTGGAGTAGATTTCAGTACTGAAATAATTTGATTTTAAGCTGACTACATAAAGAATGGATCAAAATATGCCTGATGCAGTGACGACATTGCAGGCGCTCGTGCTCTGGCGCAATTGGCGCAGGACAGCGCTGTTCTTTATATTCACATTGACTCTGCTGCTGGACATGTCCACCAATCCGGTGATTAGCGTGCTAAGCGTTGCTGGCGCCATAACCATATCGATAAACATGTCCTATTGCTGCTACGTCTGGGCCATGCGGAAGCTTCACAAAAGCTCCATTACGGATCATCCGTTGAAGCGCTATCTCGACATGGATTTCACCATCTCAAGGAAGACCACCGAGCAGCTGGCTCATCTCTTTATCTCCAAACTGAATCCGATACTCTTGCAGTTGCGATCGGTCTTCCTAGTGGAGGATATGGTCGACTCGCTGAAGATGCTAATAATTTTCTGCTGCCTTAATATTGTGGGCGACTTAATCAAGGGAATGACTCTGCTAGTAGTGGGTAAGTGCCTGAGTATGGCCTCAATTGACCTTTTCTCTAACTGGAATCTCTCTTCCAGCTTTCATCCTACTCTTCACCTTGCCTAAACTATACGTGTCGAAGAAGAAGACCATCCATAAAAAGCTCGAGCAATTGCAAATGTTCAAGGCTCAGCTGCTGTCTCCAAACCCTAAGATGACTACAGTTCCCACTGTTGCAGTGGATCCCCAAGTGTTCGACCCGGATCTGAAGAAGATGAGCTGTGTAGAGAACGACATCGACAACGAAATCGACAATGAGCAGTACGATACTTGTGAGCAGATTAGCACACCGGACCTATCATCGGACTACAACTGGCAGGAGAAGAACATGCCGAGCGAGGGGGCTCTGCATTCTAAACAGCTCTAATTCTTTTTGATTATTTTTTAAGCATTTGTTTACTTGAGGCTCTCTGTAAACGCAGACGAACGGAATAAACTTAAATTCTACGTGAAAGCCTCAACATGGTCGTTTCTAAAATATAAAATATAAAATATAAAATGTAAAATATAAAATATAAAATATAAAATATAAAATATAAAATATAAAATATAAAATATAAAAT